CACACACACTCACACACTCACACACACTCACACACACACACACACAAACACACACACACACAAACACACACGCTGTGAAATGTTATATTAAGCGCCATACACGAGCTGCTGGACCTGTGTAACGCAGAGGTGATTACTTTCTGCTAATGTATTTTAGCGGTGCATAAATCTCAGCGGATGATACAGACAGATTCTTTAATGAGACGCTGAACCCCACAGCACTTAAACTACAGCATTTATATGAGAGAGAGAGAGAGAGAGAGAGAGAGAGAGAGATACACGTGTGATATTGCTCTTTATCAGTGATTCGGCTGCAGGTAATCACAGACTACGAGTGTGATATTGCGTTCATACAACAGTTGAACTGCACAAGTGTGTAAATAAATAAGAAACAACCACAGAGTGTCTTAAAAACATTTTGTGAGCGGAACTACTTCATCCATCCATCCATCCATCCACCCGTCCACCCGTCCGTCCATCCATCCATCCATCATCTATCCATCTATCTATCTATCTATCTATCCTGAATTTTTTAAATGAAAACATAACCCCATTATTTCCCATAGCTAACAGTCTCTTTAACCTACACTCTAATTATATTAATATTCATCTGTAGCATGTTCTGTGATGCTGACACTCGACTCGTCTTTAACGGCTCCAGGTTCTCTCTGATTGCTCAGTTCTTCTGTATCACGCAGTGCCGCTCGTCTAAACGATCCGTGACGTTAGTTCTGCTCTCAGTCGCTTTAAGAAAGCCTCTGCCAAAAACACGTTTGCAAATGCAGGAGAAATCTACATAAATAACAGCAGCGACGTTCCAGAAACTTCTCAATTAACACACACGCAGCTGCTGAGACCTAGATCTGATGAAGGCTCTGGTTCAGTCAGAAGCGCAGGAAGGATCTGAGCTGCTTGTTCATGTACTCCAGACTTCCTGCTGCTGCTGCTGGATTATGTTCTGTGTTTATATTCCCGCTTGTTTTCGGAGTGAGGTCCTGCGTGGCTTTTGTTCGTATTAACGTGCGTGCCAGAGCGTATCGAAACACCCTCGTCTGACGTCTCCAGATTCACGTCTTCACCTGAGAGTTAAACCAACCACTGCATCTCCTGCCAAAACTTAGAAAGAGAGTTTGCAGGAACTTAATCTGAAAAGTTGAAACATGAAATAACCGTTTATGACTTCAAATGTACGCCTTTTGAAAAAAATACGAAGCCATTGCCTTGAAATCAGTTCATTTTGAAAGCTCTTCACCTCGACTTGCACTGACTTTCTGTGCTTCTCTTTCTCGTCTGAATGGAGGTTTGATTAAGAGCGATCTGTCGAATCACTCGCTCTATTAATGAATAACCAGATTTCAAAAGCTGCTTTTTCCTTGAGTTTCTGTCTTCAAGTACACAAAGCTAAATATACAACAAGAAAAGCAAAGAACACA